AGCTCAACCCTCTGTACTTCACCAAATTCAACAGGCTTAAAGCATCGGGGGATCTGAATCAACTTGAGATTTTCCAGATCACTAATCCAGCCTTCCCACCTCAATCTTAGCTCAGCAGGAAGTGGATCGTCCCACCCGACACCCTTTTGACACATCTCTTGTAACACTTTCTTTCCTTCAAGAATGAAAGGTGCTAGGAACCCTAGAGGATCATAAAGGGATGCCACAACTGACAGAATACCCCTTCTCGTTATAGGTTTCTCATCAAGTGTCACTTGAAAGAAAAGATTGTCATTTCTAATATCCCATCTTATGCCTAGAACTCTTTTTACTGGTAGGTCTTTGCAGTTAAGGTCAATGTCTTTTATCTCCACAGCTCGTTCTTTAGCATTAATAGAGTCCAGAACCTCCCTGTTATTTGATAGGAACTTATGAAGGTGGAGCTTTCCCTTTGCACACAACGCTTGGGCCTCTTTCACCAGCTTGATTGCTTCCTCAACTGTCTCTACACTTGTGAGACCGTCATCCACGTAGAAATGTTTTTTGACAAAGTTTGCAGCAGATGGATACTCTCTTTCATTTTCATTGGCTAAATATTTCATGCCATAATTGGCACAGCCAGGAGATGAGGACGCACCGAACAAGTGAACTTTCATTCGGTATTCTGTGGGCTCCGACTCTGTGTCCCCATTTTCCCACCAAAGAAACCGCAAATAGTCTCTGTCCTCTATTCTAACATGGAACCTGTGAAACATCTTTTCCACGTCACACATGACTGCAACGTTGTGCTTACGAAAACGGCATAGCACTCCTGTGAGGCCGTTTGTAAGATCAGGTCCTGTTAGTAAGTGGTCGTTTAATGCTGTTCCTTTGAACTTGGCTGAGCAGTCAAAAACCACCCTGATTTTGTCTGGCTTGCGGGGGTGATAAACGCCGTGGTGTGGTATGTACCAGGCGGTTTCAGACGTTGGCTGCACGTCTGCCTTCTCAGCATCACCATCTCTGAGGACTCCTTCCATGAACTTAACATAGTCACTTTTAAACTTTGGGTCTCTGTCTAGTTTCCTTTTGAGGTGCTTTAAATGAACTTGAGCCAGAGATTTGTTGTTCAGGAGCTGTGGGCGTGCTTTAAAGGGCAGGGGCATCTCAAGATGACCATGCTCATTTTGTCTGATTTTGCTACTTAGAGTTTGAAGAAACTGGATATCCTCTTGGGAGACGTCACTGTGACTTTCTTTAGTGTCTGCAAAATCTGACTCCAGTACTTTAATAATAGCGGAGGGAGTTAAAGTTGGAATTTCTTTAACACACACACGATTGCAAAATCCAGTTACATTACTAGCGTTCGCAAGATGAGGTGCACCTCCAACAATGCTCCAACCTAAGTCAGTTCTTACAGCATAAGGCTCATTGTCACCACCAGTGATGACCTCTCTGGGAGCTAATGCCCTGGAGCAATCGTAACCTATCAAAAGTCCAACAGCACAGTTCATTAGAGGGGGCATCTTTTCAGCTAAATTAGCAAGGTGTGGCCATTTGTTTGCTGTTTGACATGTAGGAATATGAGAACGCTCGAGTGGAATGAAGTCTCTTGTGTAAGCTGGGGGAAGCTCAATGCATGTGTTTGAATAGTATCCTCTGATCTTGAGTCCTTGTACTCTTTGACTTTCTATAATAGAGTCTCTTTTGACCATAGTGGCAAGTTTTAGTTTGACTGGTTCTGTTGCTACCTGCAGTCTTTCACACACCTCTTGATCAACAAATGTGTGTGTGCTTTGTGTATCTAGTAGTGCATATACCAAAGTTTCACTGTCAGGAGCATTAACTGAAGTTATCCACACAGGAACTATCATTGAAGTGCTTCCATTTTCACCTTCTCCCATTGAGCAGGATAATGAGCAAGTGTTTTCATCAACTGTGCTCAGTGCAGGTTGTTTGCCGGCTAAAGAGCGGTCCTCATGCAAGGGGGTTGGATGGCTCCTTTTGCAAATTCCGCACATTGCTCGGTTTTTACAGTCTTTTGAATTATGGCCCTTTCTCAAACATGCAAAACACAGTTTGTTTTCCATTACGTACCTTTTCTTTCCATCTGCAGACATTTCAGTAAGCCTTGGGCACTTGTGTATGGTGTGATTCTCTCCACAGCAGATACACGCAGGGACATCATTTCTATTTTGATTGTCCGTGTCCTTTGATTTGACTTGTTCTTTGTTAGACTTGAATGCAGGGCTGGAAACATTAGACGTCTTTACATTAGTAACAAAGGTGTTTGCCCTTGCACGTTTTGTTTCTCTGATTGGTTCTGCAGGTGGCTTGAGAGCGAGCAGAGATGACACAGGATTACAAGCTATGCGTGCCTCCTTGGAAATAAAGGAGGAAAACTCTTGGAAGCTTGGATAATCTTTACTTTTATCCAGTTGTTCAGTGACAAAACGATTCCACCTAGATGTTATCCAATCTGGGAGTTTGTTTAGCATTTTCTGATTCTCCTCACAGTCATTTAGAACTTGTAGACCTTTAATATGAGGCATAGCATGACTGCACGTTTGAAGAAAATCACTGTACTCTCTAAGCTTTACATACTCCTTTCCACCAATCTTTGGCCACTTATAGTTTCTCTCTGAAGGCTTGCTGTACTACAAATGAATGCCCATATCTATCGTTTAGCCTTTCCCATGCTTGTTTATAAGCGTCTTCATCTTTACGATAGAAGCAGCCTTCTAGAGTAGATTTAGCTTCGCCTGCTATGTACTTTTGCAAGTAAAAAAGTCTGTCTGCAGGATTTGAGCATCGCCTTTCTATTAGAGCCTTAAAGCTGGTGCTCCACTCTATAAACTGTAAAGCATCACCTGTAAACACGCTGGGCTCTGGAACAGGTAGTCTAGTTAGTGCTACTGACTCTTGAAATGCCTGTACCAGCGTTTCATTTTGGGTGACTGGCTGTTCACATTTAACATGAGAGGTGTGAACAAACTCGGGCTGACTTTGCTGTGTACAGAACTGCAGCTCTCGCCCCTTTGTTTTATCTCTTCCTCAGTATATGCCCTCAACTTAGCTTCCATTACCTCAATGTCTCTTTTATTTTCAAGTTTCTTAAGTTGTTGACGCTGAGCTTCAATGGCATCTTCCATGTCATTTTCAGCTTTCTTTGCAGCCAACTGTGCTGCAATCTCTGCTTTTTTGCTTGAGATGCTTGCTGTTTCTGATGGCTGTCCAGATCGATGACTATGTGTTGAAACTTTGGAAACAGTAGACCCATAAATAGATCTGGCATAGTCATTGTCTAAGAGAGCACGTAACTTTGCTCTTTCTGCCTCAAGATCAAAATCTTCTGTTATAACAGTTAGCCTCACATTCATTAAGTGTAACAAATCATATGTGATGGCAGAGCATGCATCAACTTTCCTTCTGATTTCTTGAGTTGGAACTGTTTGCTGTCTAATGTCATCATAAAGCTTTTTCAAGTCAGAATTCAACATCTCAGCTTCATCCATCATTATACACAAATCCCTTTCAGAGCACTGTTCCTTTAATGTTGTGCGAATGTCTCTTACTTTAATTTTCCACTTTTCATACATTGAAATAAATCTTTTCTCCTTTTGACTTATTTCTTGGACTTTTAGTTCTTGCATTTTAAGTGTAAACTGCCTTTCTCTGGAGGATTTTCTTGGATGTGTCTCATCTTGTTCAGTATCGTTTGGAAACAATGGTTCGTTGTCTTGAGTAGTCATTTTGAATTGTATTCCTCTTTTACTTATTCATTTTTGTTTCTTTCTTTCTCTTATTTGTTATCTGGGGATGATTTTCATACTTTCATTATACTTTACACAATTGGCTTGCTCCAGAAGCTTTGCGATGGGCGAGGAGAGATTCTGGCTCCCCCGTGTGGATGCAGAGTGAAGTGCCGTCCTGACCGTTGACTCAGCTCCGTTGAACACAGCCGGCGATGTAGTGTCGTCGGCAGGTATACGTTTTCACTGTAACTACGTTGATCTCCAACAATAAAGGACTTAACGCCTCGACTGATGTCCAGCAGCATTTAATTTCATACAGGCATTTGGAACACCGTGAAAACTACAAAGATAAAGGAGGAGAGTAAATTTCCATACAGTAACTCACACAATAAGAATCAGGTCTCAAAATAAAAGACACAATGAAATAAAAAGGTTACCGTGTGCGCCTTAGTAGACCAATCGTAGAATAACACTCTTTCCAAGCTGCAAAAACGTCTCTTTATAACAGCATACTTTAAAATACTTCTCAACTTCTTCTTTGAGAAGCAAACTTAAACGGCAGCAAAAATGATCCTAGGCTAGGCAGACGATGGAGTAACACGTGTCTCCATACGCTCCTGCGCGAATTAAATATTATCCAATAGTTTTGGCACAATTGGTTCATCCCCGGCATTTGGACTTCATATATACTTTGTTAAGGTATATGCTTTTTGATTTTTGTTGACAAAAATGTCGCACAAAGGAAGGAAAGCGAAAGCGCACCAAAGGGGGCCTGCGGATGCTACATCCCCCAGCCACAGTGAATCCTCAGGGCCGTCTGAAGTTGCGGAGGAGCTAGCCACAGGTGACGCTACTAATTTGAAAATCGAGCACCTGGATGCTTTTCGGGAGGAGATGAAAATGTTGTTTAAAGCAGAATTACAAGAGGCATTTGGAATGCACCTGGTATCTGTCAAAAACGAACTACTTGTGCTAAAGACTGAACTTTTCGCTAGCATTAGCACTGTGACGCAAGAGGTCTCGGAGCTAAAGGCTACTGTCGCTGATATGGAGCACTCTCTCTCGACATGCACGGACGACATTGTGTCCCTCCGCACCAAGGTGGAAAATATGTCTAAAGATCTCATCAGACTAGACAATAAATGTGAAGATTTGGAGTCTAGATCACGCCGTAACAACGTGCGCAGAGTGGGAATACCAGAAAGCCAGGCTATATCCTGTGAATTTGTGTCAACACTTCTGAGAGATGCTTTTTGGCTCGGTAAGGAACCACTTGTGGACCGGGCTCACCGGGCCATGAACGCCATTCCCAGTGCTGGTGGGCGACCCCGCGCCGTAGTAACGCGATTACATTACTACTCAGATTGTGCAGAAATTCTCCGAAGGGCTAGAGAACTACAACAGATTAAGACCAGAGACATTGCCATCTCCGTTTTTCCTGACTTCACTGCGAAGACGGCTCGCGCGCGTGCAGCCTTCAATGATGTGCGCCGCCAACTCAGGGACATTGGTGGAATTCGCTTTGGGATTCTTCACCCGGCCAAGCTACGCATCACGCACGACGGGAAACAACGCGACTTTATCTCCCCAGAGGAAGCAGCAAAGTTTGTGAAGACTATAACTGGATAGATATGTTTATTATTATTGTTATGGCTTATTTCAGTTAGTTTCCTTGCAGGGTAAGTTCTGTTTCGTATATAGAATTTGAAAACACAGGGGTTAAATATTCCTTTGTAGTTGTTAAAACATGCCGTTTTGAAGCACTACTGGTTTAATGTTTGTGCCTTTACGTTTAACGTTTCATTTTGCGGGAGTTATGGCTAGCTGTTAGATTCAAGTGGGTCTAACTAGTCGAGAAGGTTTTTTTCTTTCTATCGCTCCGTTAAGGAGCTTGCACTGCTGTCTCTGTCGTTTGGGGATGGGGACAACTGATGTGCGGGGGGGAGGGGGGAGGGTTGGGTTTTGTTCCGCTGTTTTGATAAGCTGCATTCTGTCAAAGATTTGGTTTTTGTACTTAATCCTTTTATTTTTCTTTCCTCGTTTTTTATTCTCTTTTTATATCTTTTGTTTTGTTTTTGTTTTTCTTCTATGTGGGGGTATAATGTCAAATATACACTCATCGTTTAAATGACTGGCTCCCCAGGTACAGTTTTAAACAATATTGATGGCATTACATTTTTGACCTGGAACGTGAAAGGAATGAACAGCCCCATTAAACGTTCTAAAATAATGGCACATCTGAAACGTATTAAAAGGTGATGTTATATTCCTACAGGAAACTCATTTACGAAATAAGGATCATGGTAGGCTCAAAAGTCCATGGGTGGGACAGGTTTTCCATTCGTCTTTTGATACTAAAGCTAGAGGAGTAGCTATTTTAATAAATAAGAGAATACAATTTACTCTGTCTAATTTAATAGCTGACAAAAATGGGCGATATCTAATGATTATCGGTGCTGTGTGCAACAACCCTGTTGTATTAGTTAATGTATACGCTCCTAATTTCGATGACCCAAGATTTATGCATAAACTATTTAGTGCCATCCCATCCATGAACACCCACCGGCTAATAATAGCTGGAGATTTCAATTGTGTTATCAACCCTATTTTGGACCGTTCAAACCCCAAAACTATTACCCAATCCTCCATGTCTAGAACTATTTCAGACTTTACCGCACAGAATGCTTTAGTGGATCCGTGGAGGTCCCACTACCCAAGCACAAGAGCATACTCTTTCTTTTCTAAAGTACACCAGTCCTTTTCACGCATTGATTATTTCTTTATAGACAGTTCTCTCCTTGCTCAAACAACTTTACCTAAATACCACCCAATAGTAATTTCTGACCATGCCCCACTCAGTATGAATATAAAATTGCCAAATCAACCGCTTTTTTCCTCACCCTGGAGGTTTAATTCTTCATTATTGTTAGACGAGAATTTTTCTGTGTTCATTAGATCTCAAATTGATGAATATATTGCCCTTAACAAAAATGACTCAATTTCTTATTCTCTTCTATGGGAATCTTTGAAAGCATATTTACGTGGACAAATAATTTATTTTTCTATTCATTCCAATAGAGAGCGCAGAAATAGAATAACTGAGTTATTAACAAAGATTAGTGACCTAGATAATCAAATAGTTGCTCAGCCTACTCCTAGTTTACACAAAATGCGAATAAATTTACAAACTGAGTTTGATCTACTCTCTACATCTGAGGCAGAACGACTCATACTTCGCTCTCGTGCTACATTCTTTGAACATGGGGAAAAGCCCAGTCGGCTTCTTGCTCACCAGTTGAAACGTCAGGCTGCTTCTAGACTGATAAATCAAATTAGAGGCACAACTAACAATTTGGCCTCTGATTCGAAAGCGATTAATGATATTTTCAAGGAATATTACTCTTCTCTATATCAATCTGAATCCACAGTAAGCCCTACTGAACTATGTGCTTTTCTAGAGGGCCTGGCTGCTCCTCAAGTGGACCCAGCCTTGGCTGAACAGCTGGATATGCCCATTCAACTTGAAGAAATCTCATCTGCCATTAAAAGCATGCATAATGGTCGGGCACCTGGCCCGGACGGCTTCTCAGTAGAATTCTATAAAGACCTGGTGGAAAAAATGTCACCACTGCTTCTTTCACTCTACAACGAATCCCTTGAACGAGGTACCTTGCCTCCTACACTTTCTCAAGCAGTTATTACTGTTCTTTTAAAGAAGGATAAGGACCCTACTTCTTGTTCATCATATAGACCTATTTCACTGCTTAATGTGGATGTAAAAGTTTTGGCCAAAGTGCTGGCGTGCCGCCTTGAAAAAATCCTTCCTTCAATTATCTCAGAAGAACAGACAGGTTTCATTAAAGGCCGGCATTTGTTTTATAATGTTCGCACTCTTTTTAATGTTATCACATATCAACATTCCGCCACTGTTCCAGAGGTTGTAATCTCGCTTGACGCAGAAAAAGCGTTTGACCGTGTTGAGTGGCGCTACCTTTTTGCTGTGCTGAAGAAATTTGGTTTTGGTGAACGTTTCGTTTCATGGATTCAGTTATTATATAATTCACCCCAGTCAAGTGTTCACACAAATGATGTCACTTCTGCTTATTTCACGCTATCTCGGGGAACAAGACAGGGATGCCCGTTGTCTCCTTTGCTGTTTGCTTTAGCTATTGAACCGTTATCAATTGCATTACGCTCGCTGGATCAGTTTAGGGGTATATCACGTTTGGGTATTGATTTGAAACTGTCACTTTATGCTGATGATTTGCTTCTATATGTATCCAGTCCCAAAACAAGTGTTCCACCGATATTATCATTTCTGAAAAGCTTTGGATCATTTTCAGGCTACAAAATAAACCTTCTTAAGAGTGAATGCTTCCCCATAAACACTTCAGCTTTAGCTCTCAAGCAGGAAGACATTCCATTTAAGCTCAGCTCTTCAGGATTCAAATATCTAGGCGTTAACGTGACACGCACACTTTCCTCACTGGTGGCTTCTAATTTTTCCCCTTTGATGAATCAAATTAAGTTGGACTTTCAACGTTGGAGCTCTTTACCTTTGTCACTTTTGGGACGAATTAATACAATAAAAATGAACATATTGCCACGCTTTCTCTTTCTTTTTCAATGCATTCCGGTCTTTTTGCCCAAATCATTTTTTTAAACTTTAGATAAACTTATAACCACTTTTTTATGGGAAGGAAAAACTCCAAGAGTGAAGAAAACTTTATTACAAAAGCTGACATTCAGTGGGGGCCTTTCTTTACCCAATTTTTTATACTATTATTGGTCTGCGCATATTCATAAATCAATTTACTGGCTCCAGTCACGGAATTTGCTTTGGTGCAGACTGGAACACCAGTCCTGTACCTCTTCCTCACTTGATGCGCTTTTGACTTCTTCGATTCCACGTAACCCCTCTCGCTACACAAAGAACCCAGTGGTTCTATCCACATTGAAGGTGTGGTCTCAGTACCGGAGCCACTTCAAGTTTATATCTGCATCAACAAAAATGCCTATCACAAACAATCATTTATTTCCTCCCGGTCTCACAGATGCTGCCTTTAACCAGTGGAAACAATCAGGCCTCAAAACGTTTAGAGACTTATATAAAGATGGCACTTTTTTGAGTTTCACCGACTTGTCCTCTGTAAATAAGCTCCCAGCTTCTCATCTGTTTCGATATTTTCAGATACGACATTGTTCAAGTTCTTTATTTTCAGAATATCCTTCACTCCCAGACCCCCAATCATGGGAAGAATTCTTATCCTTTAAACTACACCAAAAGTCAATTATGTCAATAATATATAGACACCTTATGGAAATAGATGTGCATTCGACAGATAAGATTAGAAGAAGTTGGGAGCAGGAAATGGGTATTACATTTTCAGAACAACAATGGGAGAAAGCAATATCTATTGTCCGCTCAAGTACACCTTCCATAAGACTGCAGCTCATTCAGTTTAAAGTATTATATAGGGTTCACTATTCTATATCATATCTATCAAAGATTTTTCCTCAGGTCATAGATCAATGTGAGAGATGCCAGACAAGCCCTTGCAATTTGAGCCACATGTTCTTTTTATGCCCAAAACTACATAACTTCTGGAAGCAGTATGGGGATATACTTTCTAAGGCCCTTAAAATCAGAGTGGAAGTCAATCCTTTTTTAGCCGTGTTTGGCCTTCCGATTAATTCAGTGCTGAGTGACCCTGCTCAATCCAAAGTACTAGCCTTTACATCACTCATAGCAAGGCGCAATATTTTGCTACTCTGGAAATCTGCTAATACTCCTTTAATCTCCCAATGGTTTCGTGATATGTTAGGATTTCTTAAATTGGAAAAGATAAATATGGCAACCTAAGGTAATGAAGAAAAGTTTGAACAAAAGTGGGGTTCCTTTATTGATTATTGTAAATCATTAAGAACTCTGCCTCCGGGTTGACTGCCCCCCCCCCTCTTTCCTTGGCATTAATATTATTTTTATTTGATTATTGATTGACTGCGGAACCTTCCGCAGTCAACCATTGGTTTTGGTTTTCTTTATTCCGTCTTTTTCCTGATTTTTGACACGTTTCACAGCTTTCACATTTTCAACAATTTCCACAAGTTATACATCAAAACGTTCCACATGTTTGGGAGATTATTGCTATTACTTTTGGGACTTCAGCGATTTCCGGTTTTTCCGCAATCGGACAAAAATCGGTCGATTTTTCCCATTGACTTATAATGGGGCTTCCACAAATTCATAGTTTTCAGAATTTTCTTCAACATTTTCAGCATTTTCTGCAGTTTGTGCATGTTCAGCTTCCACAACTTGTGAGTTTTCAGAAAAAAATAGAGTTCTGCAGTTTTCCAGTTTTTTTCTACGGGACTTGGGAATTCTGCCATTAATTTGCATTGAGAATTCTGCAATGCATTTTAATAGGCCCATGCATTTTAATAGGACTTCAGCTCTTTCAGACATTTCTACAGTTTCAATGATTCAACAGTTTCAAGGATTCAACAGTTTCAAGGACTTCAGCAGTTTCAAGGTTTCAAGAGTTTCAAGGACTTCAACAGTTTCAAGGACTTCAACAGTTTCAAGGACTTCAACAGTTTCAAGGACTTCAGCAGTTTCAAGGACTTCA